TGATGCTGTGTCTGACCTTGACATCTGTGTTTCACTTAATGCTGTATCTGGCCTTGACATCTACACTTGACTTGATGCCATGTCTGGCCTTGACATCTATGCTTGACTTTATGCTGTGTCTGGCCTTGACGTCTACACTTGACTAGATGCCATGTCTGGCCTTGACATGTAAGTTTGACTTGATTCCATCTATCTTTGACCTTGTCCTTAGGTGCTGGATGTGCTTTGCTCGCTCTGTGTGGGTAATGGAGTAGCAGTGAGAACCAACCAAAATCTGATCTGTGATAACTTGTTACCTGGCTGTGACTTACTTCTACAAACCAAGCTCATCAACCATGTCAGCAGGTACCCCTCCTAATATCCTTATTGATATAAGTAATAGTAGACCACTTTAAGGTGAAGTTGCATACAGTGAATTTATTAAACCAGAGAACTGTTAGACTACAGAGTCCATTCTCTGAAGTAAACAGGATATTAACTTAATATAGCCGTCTGTGTTACATAAATTTGCAAATTGTTGAAAATTGTGATGGAATAAAAACAAGAGATAGAGAATCAAGCTACCTCAGATGAATTTTTTCAATGGCATTCTTCAGACATTTAACATGTTGTATTTTGTGACCAGTATGAAGCCCAATGTGTATGTTGGTATCCTGAACGGCTCGTCCATGTACAAGCGGTGGTACTTTGAGGTGATGCTGGACCACCTGGAGGTTGTGTCACACCTTCCGCCTGTCCTCAGGGTGGGCTGGGCAAACACTTATGGTTTTGTGCCCCACCCAGGGGGTGGTGAGAAATGGGGAGCCAATGGGGCAGGAGACAACCTGTATTCTTATGCTTTTGATGGACAAAGTCTTTGGACAGGTGAGTTATGCCTGATTTTGTTTTTGTGTATTCTTCATTTTCCACCAGTTCTACTAATTAACTGGAATATTATTACAGGTATTTACTATCCTGTAAGATCTACAACCCATTGTCTGGTAATTGTTATTGCTCTGTTTTACAGGTGGTCGCCCAAAGCAGGTGAAGGGAGAAAGTCAAACATTCAAACAAGGTGATGTGGTCGGCTGCAGCCTTGACCTTGCTGTGCCTCAGATCACTTTCTCCGTCAATGGGATTAGGGTGCCAGGCATTTTCAAAGACTTCAACATTAATGGTCTCTTTTTTCCTGTCATATCCATGTCTGCCAGCACAAGGTAAACCATAAATGGTTTCTTGGATTTCTATTTTACCTATCATATTGACTTTTGCACATGTCATGATGGTTAGTAAAGGTCAAAGGTTAATGTGATAATTGAGTCAAGGTCATGTGAAATTATGGTTGTTGGTACAAATCCTTGTGTCTAGTCAATAGAACCCCTTCTCCAGCTAAGACTTTCTTTTAGATACCATTTTCACCATGTTTATACCCTTGCTACAGTTGTCGGTTCTTACTGGGTGGTGAGCATGGACGCCTGAAGTATGGTCCCCCCGACAACCACTCTCCAGTGGTGGAGTGTCTCCTCCCCAAAGAAAAGGTCAAGGTTGAGCCATGCTTCATGTTTGGAGATGTCAGTCGCAACATCATCTGTGGTCCAACAGAGATATGTGAATACACACCATTTGTGCCAAACCCTGTGGATACTGCCAATGTGAGTCAGTTAGTCTAAGTATCTAATGAGTATGGGACTGTGTACCAGG